ATGAAACTGAAACTGCAATAAGTGCCTGGGTTCGATACCTGACTCGGCACGCCTGTGTGCAGTGTGTATGTCCCCCCCCCCCCCCCCCCTGTTCTGCAAGAGGTTCCTCCGGTGTCCTCTGGTTTCCTAACATAGCGAGAAACATACAGTCATTGGTGCTGGCCAAACATTTGAATGCAGGACTGAATCATAATCCTTGCGCCAAGTGTGACTTTACTGGGTAAATTTGTACGTATTCATATTATTATTGGTATTATTATATGCATAACCTGTACAGTGAGGGAAAGAAGTATTTGATCCCCTGCTGATTTTGTACGTTTGCTCACTGACAAAGAAATGATCAGTCTATAATTTTAATGGTAGGTTTATTTGAACAGTGAGAGACAAAATAACAACAACAAATTCCAGAAAAAACGCTTGTCAAAAATGTTATAAATTGATTCGCATGTTAATGAGGGAAATAAGTGTTTGAGCCCCTCTCAATCAGAAAGATTTCTGGCTCCCAGGTGTCTTTTATACAGGTAACGAGCTGAGATTAGAAGCACACTCTTAAAGGGAGTGCTCCTAATCCCAGCTTGTTACCTTTGTAGACGAGTAGTGGAGGACGTCATGTCACTCAGGGGGGTGAGAATGGATGACGTCAGAAGTTACGGGGGATATAAGTGGGAACCCGTGACGTAGAAGGGTCCGTCGCGATGGGCCAGGAACGGAGAGAGTTAGGGAGTCGGGATCCAGGGTAGGGGGAATCAGTGCCAGGCTAGAGTGATACTTCACCCGGCCGACCGAGTTGGATGATCCCTCGATCGGTGCTGGGGGAAGATCACGTATAGCCTGGGTGGAGCTAGGGACCTCCCAGTACCCTTCCCCTGGGGAGATATTAGGGTTGTCACCTGTTAGGCGTAAGCCTTTAATAAGTTACTGGCAGTAGCCCTTAATAAACCTTGGCATCCGCCCCTACTCAAGAACCGTGTCTGCGTCGTCAGTTGCACCTCAACACCTGTATAAAAGACACCTGTCCACAGAAGCAATCAATCAGATTCCAAACTCTCCACCATGGCCAAGACCAAAGAGCTCTCTAAGGATGTCAGGGACAAGATTGTAGACCTACACAAGGCTGGAATGGGCTACAAGAGCACTGCCAAGCAGCTTGATGAGAAGGTCAATCTCCCTCGGCCTGGGGCTCCATGTAAGATCTCACCTCGTGGAGTTGCAATGATCATGAGAACGGTGAGGAATCAGCCCAGAACAACACAGGAGGATCTTGTCAATGATCTCAAGACAGCTGGGACCATAGTCACCAAGAAAACAATTGGTAACACACTACGCCGTGAAGGACTGAAATCCTGCAGCGCCCGCAAGGTCCCCCTGCTCAAGAAAGCATATATACATGCCCGTCTGAAGTTTGCCAATGAACATCTGAATGATTCAGAGGACAACTGGGTGAAAGTGTTGTGGTCAGATGAGACCAAAATGGAGCTCTTTGGCATCAACTCAACTCGCCGTGTTTGGAGGAGGAGGAATGCTGCCTATGACCCCCAAAACACCATCCACACCGTCAAACATGGAGGTAGAAACATGCTTTGGGGGTGTTTTTCTGCTAAGGGGACAGGACAACTTCACTGCATTAAAAATGGGTCGTGAATGGGTATTCCAGCATGACAATGACCCAAAACACACGGCCAAGGCAACAAAGGAGTGGCTCAAGAAGAAGCATATTAAGGTCCTGGAGTGACCTAGCCAGTCTCCAGACCTTAATCCCATAGAAAATATGTGGAGGGAGCTGAAAGTTCGAGTTGCCAAACGTCAGCCTTGAAACCTTCATGACTTGGAGAAAATCTGCAAAGAGGAGTGGGACAAAATCCCTCCTGAGATGTGTGCAAACCTGGTGGCCAACTACAAGAAACGTCTGACCTCTGTGATTGCCAACAAGGGTTTTGCCACCAAGTACTAAGTCATGTTTTGCAGAGGGGTCAAATACTTCGGAATCAGAATCAGAAAGGGTTTTATTCGCCATGTAAGTTCACACCGACACGGAATTTACTTTGGCAGGATGGTGCATACATTCAACATATAGGAATCTAAAATCGTAAATAAGTTTTAAACAAGTCTTACTATAATAAGGGTTTAAAGTCTAACACCAAGGGGCTGAAGTATATAAAATTAAATAAATATCGAATATAAAATAGCTTTAAGATATAATTTTAAAATAAAAAATACAAATAGGGTAACACAGTTAATATCCTCAAGGTGTCGTTATGTAGATCAAATGTTAAAAACAGTGTTAGCCCTTGGCCTTGTTTAACAGGCCAGCAGCAGATGGGAAGAAACTGTTTTTATGGCGTGAGGTTTTGGTCCTGATGGACCGAAGCCTTCTGCCGGATGGGAGTAGCTGAAACAGAGAGTGTCCAGGGTGGGAGAAATCGGCCATAATCTTCCGCGCTCGCCTCATGGACCTTGTCGTGTGCAGGTCCTCAAGGGTTGGTAGATTGCAGGCAATTACCTTCTCAACAGTGTGGATGATACGCTGCAGTCTGCTCTTATCCTTGGCAGTGGCAGCAGCGTACCAGACGGTTATGGAAGAGGTGAGGATGGATTCAATGATCGCTGTATAGAATTGCACCATCATTGTCTTTGGCAGGTTGAATTTCTTCAGCTGCCGTAGAAAGTACATCCTCTGTTGAGCTTTCTTGGTGAGGGAGCTGATGTTCAATTCCCACTTGAGGTCCCGGGAGAGAATAGTGCCCAGGAAGCGGAAGGACTCTACAATTTTGACTGGGGAGTCTTTTTTCCCTCATTAAAATGCAAATCAATTTATAACATTTTGACATGCGTTTTTCTGGATTTTGTTGTTATTCTGTCTCTCACTGTTCAAATAAACCTACCATTAAAATAATAGACTGATCATTTCTTTGTCAGTGGGCAAACGTACAAAATCAGCAGGGGATCAAATTATTTTTTCCCTTACTATATGTGTAAACAACATTGTTGGAATTTACATTGTCATTTTAATGTCGCTTTTTCATATTAACATTATTTGGCTATTATATTAAATTCTACCGACTGAAAAGTTACACAATAACCTTCAGTAATTTGTAAAAATCTAAAAAAACTCGAAGTGACTGTCAGGGCAGAACTGGGAGGTCCTGTGCCTGTCCTGTGCATCATTTCTTTATAACTGCTTTTTCTGTGTAGTTTGTTGTCCTTCCCCCGCACCTCCGCTTAGCACGGTTGGCTACGTATGGTGCGAAAGAAGTTCAACATACATACATACATGCATAGTCTGTGGGACCTGGTGGAGGGTAGTAGGCGCAGTCATATGTTCCTCATGCTGTCTTTCAGTGTGAATCCCAGCATGCATCCCTCCGTTCTTTGTATTTCTGATCCCCCCCCCATTTTTATTTGCCAATGTCCACGTTTCTGATCCATCTCAGTAAAACAGATGATCAGACAATACATCTTCAGATATCTGTTTCCCCACATAAATATAGTGAAAGTATTTTTTTACAAACACCCATCGACCCCAACAACCTTCTAGGAGTGCATCATTTGGACAACATTGATTTAACAGAAGCAAACTCTGGACCGGTATTGCTATGTTTTGTCGCTTCAGCAGAGTCAGGGTTACTGGAATTAATGCTGGTGAACTGCCAGATGTTATAGGCAAGGACTCTCTCTCTGTTAGAATGGGCCGAGCTCGACGCAAAACTCGAAAGTATAACACTAAATTATGATTAGCGTCATTTTGGAGAATATAAATAACAATGTCAGCAGCAAATTGCAAGCATCTGTTCGTAAAAACCGTTTACATTACTAAAAGCTACTGCAACGACAAATGCAAAAAAAAACCGATTCCACCTTTATATTTTTTAACAGCCCTTTTCATCCCACTGCTGGATGAATGCTTACCCATACCGTGTCGGGCATAGAGATTTCCTGACCATACTTCACCACGCTGGTCAATGCAAGTAGGTACCACAAAGACCTCCACCGGGCTGATGAAACAGTCCTTAGTTCGCTTTGCGTAAACACACGTGTGCATTGAACGTATATGAAACAGTCCGGAGGATCAGGGATCAAATTATGAAATGTTATTTATTTTTCTTTCTCATGCAACAAACACTTAAGCTCTTTCATTGATTGATTTACGTAGATCTTGCAAAACATATATACTGTTTCCATTAACACAGACCACTTTTTAGCAATCGCGTCATAAGCCGAGGATTCGACGCGCAAATGGTGGGAGCGACGAGTTTGTCTGTAGGCTTCCTCCACAGTCATTCTGCGAATAGACTTGCACCTGCCATATGAATCTAGAGCTCCCACCACTGGGCCAGAGATCCCACTGAATGCCCTGCTAACAGCCTGCGTAGGCTGCACTTTTTTTTAGCAATACCGTCTGATAATAACCTTGCTGATTACATCTTGTGCAGAAGCTGAGCACAGTCATATGACGTTGCTAAGTCACCAGATTATCACAGTGGTATAATTATTCCTAATTTAACGTAGATTATGCAAAACAGGAGTAGGGTCTGTTTGATCTCAGCACGAGTTACTCAAGGGCTTGGCAGTGTGAATGACTGGTTGCCACCTGTCTATGTTGACCTGGAACGGTCCAGGAATCGGCATCTGTGTCCACATGACGAGAATCAAAAGGTTTCAGTTTGATCTTTTAACATCTTAACACCTCCTGTTGCATTCCCAGAAAGGGTAAAACCTACGTTTATATTTTGATACAAGGCAAGAGAGGTCCCAATGATGTAGCTGGTCACCCCGAGCTCTCAATGTCCTGATAGTGCATTGTCTTTGTGCTGTTTGCTTTTTGGCGTCCTCTGGTCTATCACTGTTTGAGACGAGGCTCTAAAGAAAGCTGTCTGTCGTGTGGATGAATCAGTTTAAAAGACAATGCATATATTACAAGAGCATGATTTTTGTTTGCATGTTCACCACAAGTATATGTGGTGAATGCAGGCATGATTCCTTGCAAAAGGTTTCAGTTTGGTGTTTTAACATCTTAACACCTCCTGTTTTATTGCCCGAAAGGGTAAAACCTATTCTTATGCTCTGGTTTTGTCTGTGGAAGAGGTAGCTATCCTCTCACTCACTCACCCACTCGGGTTGCTTCGTTTGGGTGTGACCTGGGTAATCCAGGAATTGGCATCTCTGTGCCGGTGGCAGGAATTTAATTGTACAGAGATCTGGTCGTATTATTGTGATGAATTTAATTCCAGGATACTGCAAAGTTATGACAATAGACCTAGGTAGGCTGACTTGGAAATTTGTGTGGGTTTAGTCTGTGTAAAAGGTGGCAACCCTCATAACCGGGCATTATAAAATGTGATTCATGACTTGATATGAACATTTATAATGGAAATACTTTGCAATACGAGAAGCATAATGTGTTCATATTGGCAAACTAGTATGGTAAACATATGGTTCTGTATATTGAACAGTTCAAACAATCAGCGGTTATTACAAATGCTGGCCTCTAATTGATTCATAGGCTGAACAATCTTGCTGTTGTTTTTCAAGGTGGGTATAAAGATGTTTAGATTTGGTTTCAAGAACCTAAAAGACAAACACAAGTGTTGCACATTATTACAACAACGGATATTGCAGCATTCAAAACCAGTAAAGTCCACGTGTCAAGAACAAAGAATGGATTTTAAAATGTATAGTTCCGTGCAAACGTTTGTTACTGGAAATTAATTAAACTTAATAGTGATCAATGTATGTGCACTGTTTTCGATTTTTTTGTGTGTAACACGGTTGTTTCTCCATAATAGAGGATTTTTTGGGGGTTAGATCACGTAAATATATAAATGTGTCGTGAAACCCGCCACCACCCGACACAGCCAACTAATAAGGGTTGTCACGTAAACAGAACATGTAAATTCGTCACTAGTACAGCACACTAGTTATTTTTGCTCTGAATTATATTTGATTAATACTTTCCATTGTTTCATGCTATTTTGTTATTGTAATTGTATTCACTCAGGCCAGACACTTTTAAAAATTAGACTCTATCCTGGTCTCTTGAGTTCTTTCTTGGCAACATAAAGGTTCAAAAACACTAACTAGGCGAGTTTTGCGCATTCAATCCATGTATGTCATTGTTGATTCTTCTATTTTTCCCCCTTGTAAATAAGGTTATCCCCAGATTACTCACATAGTCTACACCGGTTATTATGCACACAATTAACGTGGGTAATATTTATCATTTGTAAGTTAAAGCATATAGCTAAATTAATAAAATGACAGTTATACAACTCTAACCATTTAGATTACATTAATTCATCATTTATTATAACAATGTAACGCAATCTCTTCAATTAACTATATCAATAATTCTTCACAGTGCTAATTCTCATCATGCAAATTCAATTAACAATATTAGCCAATTGACGCTTATATAAAATTACAATGGGATTAAAGCTATGAAAATAAGAAAATAAAATAAAACGGAAGTTAAGATGTTAAAACGCCAAATGAACCTCATGGCGGTAGTACCCCGGCTCTCGCATAATGTCCGTGGTGCAGTCATTTTTAGTCTGTTGATGGTCGGCGATGCGGCAATCGACTCATCTTGACGAGCTGTTCACGATGCGCTATTCAAAGTTTAATTTTTAGATAACGGATTTTTTTATGCTAATGTTTGGCGTTTCGACATCGCGGAGTAGCACTGATTTCGGATTGATTGTTACCCCAGTCGCGGAGTTAAGTACACCGCTGGAAAAAATAGTGCCCTAGAAATAAAATATTTAATTTCCTCGGCCATTTTTTTATTATTTGGTACCCCGGGGTACCGCCATAAGGATCAAATAGACACCTTTTTGCAAAGAATCAAGTCTGAATTAACCACACGTACTTGTGGTGAACATGCAAACAAACATGCTCTGATCATATATACGTTGTCTTTGGAACTGATTGGCCTACATCAGAGACAGCCTTATGGCCTAGTCTCACCAGTGTCAGACCAGAGAACGCCAGCTTAATGCAGATTTGATACCTTGCAAAATGAACCTATTTGGCGTTTGAACATCTTAACAGTTGTTTTATTGCCAGAAATGGTAAAACCTACTCTTATTTTTCAAACTTTGATAATGGCAAAAAGGTCCCAGGATTAGAGCTCAAATATCACGCAATATTTAATTTACGTGTTGTTTTGTGTGTGTGTAGTGTTACATTTGTGTCAGGAGTATATAGAAGTTTAGAACAATGAACAGGCTATGATATGTGAAATATATGATGTAATCGTCACGGTACTTGTCTGGCAGATTCTTTGACTTGCGCCCTTAAGCCTGAGTGAGACGAGAAAAATGAAAAGATTCGGGTAGTCAGTTAAATGTATCGGTAGTATGTACATCAGGAAATGTGCACCAATTAAACATTTAGAGGCAGTGGATATAACCGATTAAGTCAGTGTTTCTCAAACTTGTTTGGCCCATGGATCACTCAGCTGATGCAAACATTTCCGCGGACCACTCAGCCCCCTCACCACTGGTGACAAAACGCATCACTCCTCTCTAAATACCAGTCGTACAAAATTATTCATATTACCGGAACAAACAAACCTCTCTTTAAACACGGATATACGTTTCATAGGGGTAGCATTTATATCTCAGGGTTAGGGTAGTTTAATCCAACGTAATTCACCTAACTTCATTTTTTTGTATTAAATATCATGAGTAAAATATCAATTAGTGTCCGAAACAAAAGGTATAAGAAACGTCATTATTTTCCGGTCAACCTGAGGCGCGTCAATGACTACCTAATGGTCTGGGGACCACAACTCTGAGAACCACCGGATTATATGGATCTAATTTGCTACGACACAAAATAATATTGAGCGTCATTGTGGCGAACATAAGTAGCGAAGTAAACAGACGAGATGCCTGATTCCCATATCTGCCCATCCACATTAAAAAAAATAAACATATTCCACACATCCCATCAGCCGTATCGCCTACTGTAAAAAACAATGTGGAACAGATATGTAAAGAAGGTCTTATATTCTCCACAATTACGACAATTATTATTTTGTTTTATTATAGAGTTTCGTGTCAAACTAAGACCCATATCAGAACTGCTTTTTGGTTTAGTTTGTTGTCCTTCCCCCGTACCTCTGATTATCACGGTTGGCTGTGTATGGTGCGAAATAAGTTCAATATACACATCTCAGAGAGGGCCCTTGTATATAAACATCTGGCAGTTCACCAGTACTGGCTCAAGCCAAGCCTGACTCTGCTGACGAGACAATGAATGTCAAACTGGTTCTGAGTGGTCTTATATTGAACCAAATACCGCTTGCAATTAATCATTTCCAGAAGGCCATGTAGGCTGATGGGATGTGTAATTTTTTTTTATATATATACATATAATCCGTTGCAGATGCTTAATGAGTGAAGTTCAACTCACTTTTCTGCGCATGAAAATATTTGTAGGCGAGAAGAGCCGACAAGAAGAGGCCAGCCACAGCCAACGCTGCGGTGCAAACAAAGGGGATGAAATAGATGCATTTGCCAGTTTTGGGCGGCGTGCGTGGTGGTGGTGGGCACGCCTGAGCCGGTGCCAGGAGGCACCCCGCGGCACAGCCGGAGGCCTGAGCCGTGCCCGCTTCACCTGCCTCTGCTGGGACATACAGAGAGATGACCATCCATGTGTTACATAGAAATTCGGTTCAAAGATGGGGTTGTAATGGATAGTAATAACATCCGGTGTTTACCCTACATAATAATTAAATCATTAATATCATCATCATCATCAGGCCTGGTCAGTCCACTGCTGGATGAAGGTCTCACCCAAGCTATGAAGCAGTAATCCGCCCAGCGCCTGCACACCGACGGCTTTCATCGCTACAGCTCCTCGGTTGACGCCATTCCATTCATTGGCTGCTAGTCTATCATCATTATTCCTGACCATCAGATCTCATCCCTTCTCGCAAATGTTGCGCTATGCAAGCCCACTTCGTTTTCTTAACATTTTTAATTATGTCAATAATCTGCACATGTTCGCTAATCCATGTATTCCGCGTTCTGTCTTTCAATGCAATACCAAGCACGCATGTCTCCATGCTTCTTTGGGCACTTTTGAGTTTTTGTTCCATTGTTAATTAATTGTGCCACTGGTTATTGATACAGCATTTATTTATCGACAATACGGCCAACATGGTAAAATCTTGGTCACGATTGTACATAAGGGTAGGCACCTGTCATGATTTTGCCCGGACAAGTTTAGGAACTGGCATCTGTGTGCGAGTGGTGGGACTTGATTTGTACCGAAATGCGCAGCACAAAAGCAGGAATTGTCGGGAGGTCTGAAATGCAGAGCGCATCACAAGAGGGTGGACTGGCATAGTCATTACGAAGATTTGTCCAGGAGAACATTGAAGATCAGTTGGAAGGACAATCATGGCATCAGCCAGCGCTTCCCAACGGAGGAGGAACAGCAAAATTAAATGAACTCTCTCTCTCCTAAAGCCCTCTCGTGGCCAGCAGCAGACCGCGAAATTGGCATATATCTCCTGAACATATTGCCATCATGCACAAGAGTAGAATAGAGTGGACAGCATCTATCATGGGCATCAACCTTTAGTCTAGATGACGACATAGGTCCTTGTCTCATTAACCCGACGAGGATGAAGGATCGAGTCGACCACCGTCTGGAATGTAAACTCACGCCCTTCTGATTGCGAGCCGAGTCTGCCAAAGTGCTACTACCAAGAGTAATTACCATATGAACCTTCACATTTTTATTGCATCACTACAGCCATGACAGCGATATCCTCCTGTACATTGAAAAGATTTACAAGAGATCCAGAACCAGTAGACTGCTCTGCATTATACTCATTACTTGGGGCCTGGCCAATATCAAAGAATTATTGGATGTCAGTGAGCTGTGATACCAAAGACATGAAGAACATTCCAAAGGATCAAATCATGGTGTTTTAGACATTCACTAGGTCCATTTGAATTTATATGCACCTCCATGCAGCTGTGATTTTCTTTTTGTTATAATGCTACAACATCCCTGGGCAATAAACTTAAACAAATAAATACAAACGAATATTTGAAGCGGCCACAGTTGTTCGCTCTCAGAGAGAAATAATTATTCAGACACGCGGGATATCTCAGGTAGGCGAGAAGGCAGCCAGTAAAACCGAACTAAACTACATATTTATTTTTATTTTACCAGGCAAGGCCCTCTGAGCTATACTGCTCTTCAGAAGCGACCTCGCCGCAAATGATAGCTCAACGAAGTAGCTTACCACCTGGAAATTGATAACAGCCAAATACTCGAAACGCATGTTTCTACATGTGGATGGAAAAGCCGGAAGACTAAGAGAAAAATCCATGCCACCACGCGGGGAGATACATGCTAACTCCAAATATACAGGCGTCAAGGGCCGGGATTGAACCCTCGACCTCCTATATACCAGGCGAGGTAGTTAACATCTCGCCACCGTGGCACCCACAACCACAACCGGCGCCAACAATTACCCAAGGGGCACCTGGGGGAGGGGGGGGTCAGACATTTGTGAGTTTGTGACTATGTGTGACGAGGGGGGGGGGGGGTTGAGAAATGTGACGTCACTTAAAAATGCGCAACTTTAAGTAAATATAGACAACACGTTCTACTTAATTAAATATACTTTTAGATAAATGTTTTCTCCTACAACATAAGAGTGCAGCGGCACATTAAATGCGCACTGCAACGACAATAGTTTAAAGCGATTTGAAGCATGTTTTATTTTTTTGGAGGGGGGGGGGCAGAGCTTTGTGAGGTCATATTTGAGGGGGGGTCTGACTTTTTGTGACGCCGTGTGACGAGAGGTGGGGGGGGGTCAAAAATCGCCAAAATCGCGTGACGTCATTTATGGACGGCCCCCAAGCTCTGTTAGCGCTATATTGGGACATTAGGCCAACTCCATAAATACTCTTTGGTTCTATTCGGTAAAGTCACGTAGGTAAAAAAATAAAACAACAAAAATTACGACGTTTCGGCCACAACACAAGCGGCCTTCATCAGGTGAAGGGACCAGCCTGTCTCGAAGACTGCGCTGGAGTGAAACAGAGCCAAGCTCAGACTACGACCTTTAAGCTGTGTGAGAGGGATTAAGGTGCCTCGACAAAGGAATTAGCATAAAAAATAGCATTTGATTGGCGGACTTAGCATGATGAAAGATGTAGCACGCGGCAGTGCACCTTTAAGCTGTGTGAGAGGGATTAAGGTGCCTTGACAAGGAATTAGCGTAAAAATTAGCATTTGATTGGCGGACTTAGCATGATGAAAGGCGTAGCACGCGGCAGTGACTTTACCGAATAAAACCAAAGAGTATGGATCCTTGCAGTCACGAAAGCTTAAAATCTACAACTCCATAATACTGAATCTTTATGCATGAGGGAGGAAACTGATGTACCTCCGGCAAAAAAAAAAACCCGCATGTGCGGCGGGGGTAACAAACACTAAATCCCCGTACAGATGGAAATCAATCCACTCGCTATACTGCCATACCCTGGCGAGCCATGAGATGGTGACCTCGGGGTCCGGCTAAACCCCTGCCTGTGGATGCCATTTGCCTCTTGGAGGCTCAGTCGCCTTTGGTGTAATTTTCAAACCCTCCCCGACTCTCTCTGTTGTGCCATTGGCCGACTGGTGGCTCATCGTCAGACCCAGCACAGGCTACGATCTTCCGTGAAGCTTCTGCGCCACAACCCCTCATTAAACCGCGTTCACTGGACAATGCCCGACAGGCAGCATATGATGACACTCTACTGGATGCACAAATAGAACATGCAAAACTCGCCGGCAGTATGTGATTGTGGCCACCACCCAGAACCGAACCGTGGAACTCAATGCCCGATTCGCAAATACGAAGCAGGCGTCATCACAGCGATTCACGACTGATGCAATCATCTCGCTCAACCACCTCAATGTAAAATCCCAGTTGTTGCACTATATCAACATCAGCCAAACGAAGGACATGTTCTTGGTAGGGGAGTGCACGGTCAGATATATGTATTTTTAAACAAAATGCCTCTATAAGGTTGCTATCAAATATATACGATCCCAAACTGATAACATGCGATATTCTATGAATCAGCTCTCCATTTTGTTTTGTTATTAAATCTTATCTTGAGCCATCTGGATTGGATTTCAATGTGTTACGGTGTCCTGGGAAACTAGAAAATGAGAGAAAACCCACGTGTGCGTGGAGATAACGTCCCAAACCTCATTCAAAAATTGTGGCATCACAGTACCGAAAAATTGTGACAACTTGGGGAGGCCTTCATCTAGCAGTGGATAGACTTTAGCTGATGATGATGGTCAAAATACGCAGTCTCTTTCGCAAATGGAAAGTTTATTTTTTTTTTAAAGAACATTTTCAATTGGATTTAAAGCTTTCGTGACTGCAGTAATTCATATTCTTAGTATTTTCGGTAAAGTCACGTTGAAGAGAAACAACAAAATAATATAATATATATAAAACAATAAAAATTCTCACGACGTTTCGACCATAACTCAAACGGTCATCTTCAGGTGTGTTGGTTTGCATAAATTTATTTTTAAACGGCGCATTTATTTATTTATAAAAAACGTTAGCGTCACGCGCAGCGATTTGGCAGTTTGCCCAGGACTAGTCCATCTATATTTTGAAAAGAGGAGGGGGGAGACGAAATTTTTTATAATGTATGCTGTCTGAAAGCCACTGTAAGCGTGAACAATCAATTAAGAACTGAAATGGTTTATCAAATCTTTCCAATGATTGCTAAGATAGAATCCATCTTCTCGGTTGAAATTGTCTCTGTGCTTGTATATGTGGATAGCCTCATGAACGAATCTCTCATGGAAGCCAGATGGCTTACAAAGAACCTCTCTCTTGGAAAAGTCAATGGCATGTGAGCCTACTGAATTAGAACAATGATCTGCTACGGCCGAGGTGTTGGTCCTACCGTGTTTAAGGTCTGCTTTGTGTTCACGAATGCGGTCCGAGACATGGCGTTTGGTTTCTCCAGTGTAACTACTACCACAGAGGCAACTTAGTTTGTAGACACCAGGGTATTGTATGTCCGGAATCACATCTTTTACAGACGGAACCAGATCACGGATTTTATGTAATGTGTTGAAACGGACCTGGATCTTGTGTTTATTCAAGATTTTGGAGATCTTTTTTGTGATCCCAGCAATGTAGGGTAAAGTGATGGTTTTGAAAGGTTCCTCAAGAGGGTTCTTCTTCATGGTTTGAGTGATAGCTTTGCGGATTGTATAGTCGGAGTAACCATTAGCCCTAAGAGCTTGGTGTACGTGCTTGAGTTCACTGCTTATGTGTTCCTGGTCGGATATGCATTGGGCTCTATGATACAGAGTCTTGATGAGAGAATTCTTCTGTGATGGATGGTGGTGGGAATCCGGTTTCAGATAAGCATCCGTATGGGTAGCTTTCCTGTAGACAGAGTGGCTCATTGAACCATCAGGTCTCTTTTTAATTAGGACATCCAAAAAAGGTATCTTGCCATCTATTTCTACTTCCATGGTAAATCTGATGGCTGGGTGTATGGAATTGATGTGGTCGAAGAATTGGTCTAGAGCAGGCCGGCCATGTGGCCAGATGACAAAAGTGTCATCCGCGTACCTCTTCCATGAGGTTGGGCGCAGAGTGGCAGTCTGGATGGCGTCAGTCTCAAATTTCTCCATGAAAATGTTAGCTATAACTGGAGAAAGGGGGGAGCCCATTGGGGTGCCCTCAGTTTGTTTGTAGAAAGTTCCATTCCAAGTGAAGTATGTATTGGTTAAACAGTGTCTCACCAGGGGGGGTACCTCAGTGTTTAGTCCTTGATGAACCAAGTCTTCAATGATTGCAATGGTGTCAGGTACAGGAACCTTGGTGAATAAGGAAACTACATCAAAACTGACAAGCAGGTCGTCTGGGGACAGGGAAATACCCTTGATTGTCGATACCAGGTGAGTAGAATTTTGTACCGCAGAGGTGGTCTTTCCAGTGAAAGAACGCAGGATTTCAGACAAAAAACGAGCTAGTTTGTAGGTGTGGGAGCCGATAGTAGAGACTATGGGACGAAGGGGTGTATCTACTTCATGTATTTTTGGTAAGCCGTGTAATCTTGGTGGCCTGGCAGCAGAAGGTTTCAACGAAAACTGTTTAGATTGATCAATTAATGCGGTTGAATCAGAAATTATTTTGTTGGTTTGTGTGACGAGGCTGTTGGTGGGATCTCTTTTTATTTTTGTATAACTACCATCGTCGAGTAATTCTTTAATTTTGTTGTTGTATTCTATTTTATCCATGATGACAGTAGCATTGCCTTTGTCAGATGAGAGGACTACAATATCATTCCTCTTTTTTAATTTATATAATTCAAAACGCTCATCTTTGCTGAGGTTGCTAGCTGGCATCTTAGCGTTTTTGAGGGTTGCAGCGATTTCAGATCTTGCTACGTCTGCAGCGATGTGACCCAGGCCCCTGAGAGCAACGTCTACTTGGGCAATTATATCATTAACTGGTATGTGTTTTGGTGTGACTGCAAAGTTTAGACCTTTAGCTAAAACGGATTTCAGACCATCGGAAATAGAACTGTTACTGCGATTAATTACGACTTTATTAACGTCTAACTTTTTGGTGTGTGGGTCCGGTCTTTTGTTGAAGAGGAGGTTAAATTTGGAAATCAGGTTTTCCTTACATTTGGTCGACATAGTAGCAGCTGAAGAGGCAGTCATATTGTCTACATGTTCCCAATCCGATGTGGACATTATTGCCGTCAATGATAAGTGTGATTTGTAGAGTGTCTTGTCTAACTGATCTAGTTCTGTGCGTATAAGTCTGATTTTTTCTGAGATAAGAGCTAAGCTAGTTTTGAAAAGAATTCGTTTCGCATTAGAAGAAGTTACAGCAGAAGAGGTCAGTGTAAATGCGATTGGTATTACCCCAGAGTCGCGGCATCTCTTCAGGAAGGTGAGAGTCTCGATCAGCTGAGCTTTCTGAAATCCTGCGTCCTTTCACTGGAAAGACCACCTCTGCGGTGCAAAATTCTACTCACCTGGTATCGACAATCAAGGGTATTTCCCTGTCCCCAGACGACCTGCTTGTCAGTTTTGATGTAGTTTCCTTATTCACCAAGGTTCCTCTACCTGACACCATTGCAATCATTGAAGACTTGGTTCATCAAGGACTAAACACTGAGGTACCCCCCCTGGTGAGACACTGTTTAACCAATACATACTTCACTTGGAATGGAACTTTCTACAAACAAACTGAGGGCACCCCAATGGGCTCCCCCCTTTCTCCAGTTATAGCTAACATTTTCATGGAGAAATTTGAGACTAACGCCATACAGACTGCCACTCTGCGCCCAACCTTATGGAAGAGGTACGTGGATGACACTTTTGTCATCTGGCCACATGGCCGGCCTGCTCTAGACCAATTCTTCGACCACATCAATTCCATACACCCAGCCATCAGATTTACCATGGAAGTAGAAATAGATGGCAAGATACCTTTTTTGGATGTCCTAATTAAAAAGAGACCTGATGGTTCAATGAGCCACTCTGTCTACAGGAAAGCTACCCATACGGATGCTTATCTGAAACCGGATTCCCACCACCATCCATCACAGAAGAATTCTCTCATCAAGACTCTGTATCATAGAGCCCAATGCATATCCGACCAGGAACACATAAGCAGTGAACTCAAGCACGTACACCAAGCTCTTAGGGCTAATGGTTACTCCGACTATACAATCCGCAAAGCTATCACTCAAACCATGAAGAAGAAGCCTCTTGAGGAGCCTTTCAAAACCATCACTTTACCCTACATTGCTGGGATCACAAAAAATATCTCCAAAATCTTGAATAAACACAAGATCCAGGTCCGTTTCAACACATTACATAAAATCCGTGATCTGGTTCCGTCTGTAAAAGATGTGATTCCGGACATACAATACCCTGGTGTCTACAAACTAAGTTGCCTCTGTGGTAGTAGTTACATTGGAGAAACCAAACGCCATGTCTCGGACCGCATTCGTGAACACAAAGCAGACCTTAAACACGGTAGGACCAACACCTCGGCCGTAGCAGATCATTGTTCTAATTCAGTAGGCTCACATGCCATTGACTTTTCCAAGAGAGAGGTTCTTTGTAAGCCATCTGGCTTCCATGAGAGATTCGTTCATGAGGCTATCCACATATACAAGCACAGAGACAATTTCAACCGAGAAGATGGATTCTATCTTAGCAATCATTGGAAAGATTTGATAAACCATTTCAGTTCTTAATTGATTGTTCACGCTTACAGTGGCTTTCAGACAGCATACATTATAAAAAATTTCGTCTCCCCCCTCCTCTTTTCAAAATATAGATGAACTAGTCCTGGGCAAACTGCCAAATCGCTGCGCGTGACGCTAACGTTTTTTATAGCTAAATAAATGCGCCGTTTAAAAATAAATTTATGCAAACCAACACACCTGAAGATGACCGTTTGAGTTATGGTCGAAACGTCGTGAGAATTTTTATTGTTTTATATATATTATATTATTTTGTTGTTTCTCTTCAACGTGACTTTACCGAAAAAACTAAGAATATGAACATTTTCATTGTCAGTAAATATCAGTTGATTTTTATTCTTGACAATTCTAAAACAAAGCTTAACAATGCAATCTTTTACAGCATGTAAACAGTGAATGCACCAACAAAACCCTGGATTTTAAGGATCTACAAAAAACAAAAAAATGCTGGACATAAACACAAAATAAACATTGAAAACTACATAAAAATCAGAAGCTATGATAATAAAACCAAAACATTCTTAAATTTACACACACAAGCAAAAATCAGCAACACATATTTGACCACTCTGTTGAATAATGTTGTAGGCATTGTGATGGGGTGTGACATTCTAATTCTCTACAATCATCATTATCTTGTGTGCATATCTAAAAACGCGTGCATCGTTTTCAACACTTCTGCACTAACGTTGCTGTTCAATTCATTATTTTCACTGCTCAACGATGACATAACGCAAAAAACGCACGCTCAACACAACCCACGCATCTCCACGCTGCCTCGTTTTTCTCAGCCGTCCGACATCCTACGTCTTCATCGCGACTGTGCCAGGCTGGGTGCACACGCCGCTGTCAGCCGTCGCGCGATCGATCCACTGTGCCCGCCGCCTCTCGGAGTCGTCAGCAACGCCACAGGAGAGCACGATCTGGGAGCCCTCGGCAGCCACCACGGACGCGTAGGAGGTGTTCTCTTGACCTGCGGACGACATCAACGTCCCATTTGGGGTGGTTGGAAAGTGGCCAGTGTTGGGAGAAACTACGACGCAAAATTGCAGCTGGGCTTTTTAAAATGCAGCTTCCGTCAATGTTCTACGTGGTAACTTCACGATGTGTCCCAGTAACACGAGTCGACGTGTTTATGGTGGGTACGTTTAAATATATAAATAACAATGATTTTATTATGTATAGACACTCTATATGGAGGTAAAGGTGTTTGTTTTCTAACATATACTTAAAAAAACGTTGAAATACATTTTAATATCGACACGATATGTATATATTACATTAATAACTGAAATCATGTATATATTACATCGTAGTACATCTGCATTTATGATTACACAATGTTGTTCTGTCTAAAGGTGTGGGACATAGGTATCGTTGTAGTATTCACACAATTATATTTATTTCACGATGAATATTATGCTTGATTTTAACTGTGTTTTAATTATCTTATATTTTATCATGAAACTGATCAGTGTACTCTCATTCAAACCCCATTCAGAATTGTTACAGCCATGCAGCATTGTCTCTTAGACGTAAACACATAGACACATGAAACAGAACAGTGTCCCTAAATTGTTTTTATTTTATCATGTAAGGCCCACTGAGCTACACAGCTCTTTTTCAGAAGCGACCTGGCTAGAAATTATAACTCAAAGAAGCAGCCAAATACTCTAAACGCACGTTTGTAAATGTGGAGGAAAAAACCGGACGACCCGGAGAAAAATCCACGCTACCACGGGAAGAACATGCAAACTCCAAATATAGCGTCAGGGTCGAGATCGAACCCACGACCTCCTGTACACCAGGCGAGGTAATTAACATCTCGCCACAGTGGTGAATCTATAAAACACGACACTGCACTTATTCATGCACATACCGTAGATCGCATCGTTTGTATGGATTATGATGAGTGCTAGATCTGTAGTCCATAGCCGAAGACAACAAGTTATCAAGTTGTGTTTTTCATAGCCAAGCGTTGTTACAAGGCATGCAATATTGAGAACGCAGTGCGTGGACTAGTCCTGTGCGTGCAATTTGAGCAGTAACAGTTGCCCGAGTCATGAATTATACCCAGGCAGCAATCAATTCGTAATTCATTAAATAGAGGATGTCATATTTTGAATCTTACATTACTATTCATTGCTTTTTATGTCTCCATGCTTTCGCATATACTTTTTAATATGGTTATATTGAACACATTTAAATCGATGAAGTTTAATAAACATGATGTGGTGATGCTGCTGCTTTGGCAGTGGTGCACAAGCACAAACAACAACAACAAATTCAACACACTCGTCAACAACAGTGGCCTTAAAATAAGTATATAAGTGCCGACGTTTCGGGCAATGTCCCTTCTTCACAGCACGCAGAGGCCAGAGAAAGAGCTAATCAGGGTTGGAGACTGCACTGGTTTACAACATGGGGCCGGATAAGTTTTTATGTTTTATCTGATTACCTGATTTAAATGGCCATATGAAGAGCTACGAATAGTTGCTTTTTTGTTCTTATGGCTGATGTAGATGCAGAGCAATAGCTAGAATTTCACATTCAGGTGGTCAAGCCAGAAAACTGCGTCAGAAGCAGCGGAGTGTAATGCCGTGATGTCTGCTTCTTATTTGTGGATCGGGCGTTGCGTCATTGTACGTTGTACGGTCTGTTCTGGACGACCACAACCACACCCTGGAGAGTTTTTAATTTTCCACTTGTGCATCAGGTAGCCGAATCTGCTATGGTTTGTGCGGATGTGGTTTAGGGTGGACGAAGAGCTTTGTGGAAAATCAAACCTTGGGATCTTGTTGTTGGGTCTTTCACAAGGTGTTTGTTTGTGTATTGTAGTAGCTTTTGAGATAAAAGACAAATCCCCAAATAATAAAAAGCATTACTTTAAATAAACCAATTTGAATTAAAATAATTGTATGAAATGTTGCTGACACAATGCATTCATTATGTTTATGATATGTTTTTTTCACCTGAGGACGATTGCTTGTGTTGCGATTGAAACGTCGTGATCTAATAGTTATTTTTCTAACTACGTGACTTTACCGAAATAACCAAAGAGTATGAATTCCTGCAGTCACGAAAGCTTCAAATCAAGATTAATGATATAATTTGCTATGTTGACAATTGTGATTATCGTGACTTATGGATTAAACATCATTGTTGCACGTGTGAAACGCGACCTTTAAATTCAAGGGGTCCATACCGCCGGTGTGTGTTGTAAGTTTACGTAATTGTTGAATATTTGCAATGACGACATTTTACAAATCAACAACTGGCGAAATCCCGCAATATCTCGCATCTGGAAAATAATAAATTATAAATGTATACCCCGTAATATATGTATTAGCGGGCAGACAGGCGTGAATAGATAATGCATAATGAACTCTTAACTGTGTTCTGCTTCTGTTAATGCACAAAGGAATGCATGTAAACCGCCAACATCCTGCAGAGTTATGTGAAAGGCAAGACAGATTTACCACTGCAACCCATATTTTAGAATTAATATGTGCTTTCCCAAAGCATTTCAAAATATATGCTGGACAGGATAATCGTTGGAGAGGGAATTAATGAAGAGCATTGTTATCTGCACATCTGGCCTCTGCTCTGGTAAGACTGCGTTGTCACGTCTGGGTGAATTCACTCAACACACCCTGACGAACATAAGTTGCAGCAGTTTTCATGGGTTATCGAAAAGCCTTCAGATTTCTCTCATCATCATCATCTAAATGCTGTGGAAATTAACTGATACTCCTCTTATTAGTACGGTTGGTTACGTACAGTGCGAAAGAAATTAAACATACTTACATAGGAAGCCAGAAGTTGTCTGCGACTGTCGCCCGCAACTCTTGTAATACACAGGGCCCCAAAGGGCCTCTGCGAAGGTTATCATGATCCGTAGACACGGCCTTCCCATTATTTATCAAAGGCGGCACGGATAAGGCGAGTGTGGTAGCGCGCCTCTAATCCAGCACTGTGGAGGTGGCAAGTGGACATTGCGGTGCCAGACTGTTTCCAAATGTATGGGGATTAAGCGTTGCCCCCTTGTGTGCGTGCGTTTTCTCTGGGTGCTCCGGTTTACTCGCCCGTATATGAGCACTCATCATTAACGGGTTGAAAACAACTTAAAATTTAAACTCAATCCAGAACCCTCCTGAAAGAGTCATATGACTTAGTGTGACTTTCTGGATAAATAAGTAAAATATTATATAATACAGATGTCACGGGTGGACGCTATTTTATTCCTATTGACTGCGAGATCTGCAAAGAAGAGGAAGCCTTGCTCTAGTCGGGGACCAAGACAGAGCCCCGATGGAGCCTGCAGCGTGTCCATGATGAATCGACCTTTCACTACATTCCTAATATGGATGTGGCAGCAGCAGCAGCAGCAGTCATGAAGGATAAAAAGCGCTGGCGGAAATGGCATTGATCCTGAGCTCCAGATCTAAATCGACATAACTCAATTCTGCAGGATTTCATGCCTCCATCCACGCAACATCTCCCACATCCACTTTTTCCTTACCCCAAATGTTGCTGAAACCCTCATCCATACCTTCATAACTTCTCAACTCAACTATTGCAGTTATCTCCTCAACGGCCTCCCCAAATACCTCATCTCCAACCTCCACGTGATCCAAAATTCCACTGCCAGACTTCTTACCTGCACCCGTAAACAAAACCACGTTACACCAACACTCCGATCCCTCCACTGGCTCCCAGTACAATTCTATATCTATTTAAAGATCGTATTTGCCATTCTTGCTATCACCCTCTCTTCCTTCATAGACATCCAAAAACAGCCCTACCCCCCTTCCATTCCTACGCAGCCTCTATTCCCTTGGCAATTACATGAAACAACCCAGTGAAGAATAGCCACTAAATACAGCTCAGGGATAATATATATTTGTCGATTTTTATAATAAAAATAAAATATCATACCGCCGTCAAGATCATCCATGGACGAGTAAAGCCAGGTACTCGAGTTAGGGGTGAGGGACGAAGAGTCAAACCGGTGTCACCGCACCCATGAAGCACTGGGAATCTGTGGTTATGTGGGCTGCCCACACAACCACGTGACACAAACAGTGGAGAGGTCATCGCACGGACACCTCATTGCAGCTACACCTGAACATATACAAATCTTATCCTCATGATTTCTTAAACATCCTTGAGGATTCAGAAATAATGAGAAGAATCAACAATACCCTGTTCCCAGGGGGTGACAGGATTTGGGGATAAGAGGATGATGGGTGGTAAGCGGTTGACATGTATGAGTTTAGGAAAAAAAGGTTACAATGTAAAATTGGCATAAGAAAGCCTGATGGCAGGGACAACGTTGAACTGTTGGTGAACACTGAAAGGTCGCATGAGAAGCAAATAGTGGGATGGAGATACAGGCAGATACAGAGATCCCCCGTATAGCCTTAACATATTTCTGGGGCAAGTGCTCTTAGCAAGAAACTTTTTTTTTATTGACCAGGTAAGGCCCAATGAGCTGTATAGCTCTTTTCAGAAGCGACCTGGTCACAAACGACAGCTCAACGAAGTGGCTTATCGTGTGCCAATTTATAGCAGCCGGATACAAATCCACGCGACCACGGGGAGAACACACAAACTCCAAATATACAGGCGTTAGGGTCGGGTTCGAACCCACGACCTCCTCCTCCTCTACATCAAGCGAGGTAGTTAACATCTCGCCACCGTGGCGCCATATAAAGGCCGGCACGGCACACGAGGGGGTGGGGTCAGGACTACGCCGAGCCGCCTTTGTCTCCCTCGTAGTGATGTTCTTGTACATCGCACCAGGTATGAATTTGAGGCCGAGTCGACCTAGGGGAGGCCTAGGACGTATTCAAAATTATTTTTGACTGGTGTTGACCGTGAGCAGAAATCAAACTCGGGTGGCCTGGTTGGCACAGCAGCGTGACAACCGCTCCACTACCACTCTGCACTACTCACTGGAGCAAGATACACACAAATCCACACACACACACAATGGAATATACGGCACATGAAACAAGACGAGTGGATACACAATAAAATCAATGCACCCACAAATTGTTGCAAAGGTTGTGATACAGACATGCTACAATACTGCGTTTTTAAAGTATATCGTGCATTTTTTTACTTTATAATTAAACATAATAACGCGTAATAATTTCACACTTACCCTCTGTACAGCATGTGGCAAGTAACACAATAAAACATCCGAAGGTATTCATCATGTGAGCCCTGGAAATAAAAAAATAAACATGATTTTGCTATGCTTAGTGGTAAATTGTCCCGATCGCGCACACACGCAGATTCCTTGCTCCATCTCCTCGGGATGCGTTCCCTTTGGGAATGTATGTTGAACTTGTTTCGCACCGTACGTAGCCAAGCGTGCTAATCGGAGGTGCGGGAAAACGTTCCATGCCTTGGCTGCCACTCCATCGTCAACCTTGACCGATATACTTGCACTGATTGATTCGTTTTTCTTCAGGCACATTGATGTTGCTTTTCCATGATCGCACTCAGTTTTCCAAAAGCACTCACTGCACCACGCTCTCACTCCTTAGCCGTATCTCTCTGACATACTTAACATCTTTAATTGATTATTAAACGTGTACGTGACTTGTGCGTGTGTATATATTGTTGAATATACAGTTTATTTTTATTCCAATTTTGGAGGCCTTTTTTGTAAGTTCTTCAACCATTCCCTCGCGTTCATTTGTATTGGTTGTTATGACTATATAATTAAAAGATAATAGTACGAAAATATGTTGACGTAGTTTCAATCAAAACGTCGCGTATCTATTTGCTAAAATTTGCTGAGGATTGTTCTTTAACTTCCCGGTGAGCTGAAACAATTGGCACGTTAAACACTTGTACACGTGGAAATAAAATAAAAAGTTTTGGCTGTGTCGAGTGGTGGACGGTCTTAACGACACAATTGTGGGCATATCATTCAGCGGCCTAAACCAAACGTATATTATTAATCTTTATAGCCTGCAACAACTCATGCTTTATTGGAAACCTCATTTGCCAGTAACAAAATATAACTGTTTTTTTTACCCTTTTATCTGGCAACAAAACTGACGCCTTTATTTACAAAGAGTCATGTTTACATTGACCACAACACCTGCGTTCCGACCGCAGGTATTGTGGTCAATGTAAACATGACTCCATGTAAAAAAGGTGTCAGTTTTGTTGCCAGATAAAAGGGTAAAAAAACAATTATCAACTCATGCTTTACTTTAAAACATAATTCCAGCCTTTGTCAATCCACGACTTGATGCAAACATATCCATGCCGGTCATAAGGGCTGTTTGATCAGACTTCACCAGACTGATCAGTGCACATTGGTGAAGTGAAAGGCCGGCACTGGTTCTGATATCACTCGCTAAAGATGTTGGTCATGGCTCGGAATTAAACTCAGGTTGCTGGGTTTATAGCGCAGAGGATTAACCACTGCGCCGAGCTCCACCATTCCTGACCGTCATCAGAAATTCTGAGAGTGTGAACATGTGCTTAATGCATGCCTATGCCTTTGTTCCTCCAATCCAGATTGTGTAAACATCTTCTCAAGTTGCTGAGAGAATTTACATTTTTACTTAAAACTTTCGTGACTGCAGGAATTCATATTCTTGGTTCTTTCGGTAAAGTAACGTAGATATAAAATAATAAAATCAAATTACAAATAAAATAAAAATTAAAGCAAAAAACCCACGACGTTTCGATCGCAACACAAGCGGTCTTCATCAGGCAGAGAGAAAAGAGGGCAAGCCTCCAAATGCTGCTGTGAGCAGCCTCGGTGAGTGTAATAGATTTACGAAATATATTAATGTAACGAGATTGAAAACCCATCCACAAGTGAGTTTTACCCTTAAGTATCGAATAACTTCTCGAACATTTAATAAACTGCTCTTATTACCCCAAGTCTCGTATGTGCAGTACAACCACCAACCAATTAACTTGCCGCGTACGATTTCATTCACGTGTGTACTGCAAGTCATACGAATGTGTAAACTGTTTTTAATGCATTAGAATTGTTTGTGTTGACATCAAAGCACGTAATGAATTACATTTGTGAATCAACAGCGCACAATGGCATTTTTTCACCATAGCCTTATGTGAACACACGTGACAATTTTAATATATACACAAGTAAAACAATGTTTCGTAAGACATTATTACCTTCAAGGTCCGCACAACCAGCCCTCTTGCGTGCTTACTCAACCTCGTGCACGCTGGCTACTTGACCCAGAGAACGTCTTATCGTCAAACAATATCGCACCTACACACGTGTGTCGAACTATCGCACACCTGATCAGCGGGTTGTAAGCCGTGGAAAATCACGTGCATTGCGAGACCACATTAGCCACACAATTCTCGTGAAAGGTGGCGCCCGAATTTTGTTTTCACCCTTTGCTCATGAGCAGCTTTGTTTCCACAGTTGTACGTATACCTACTAGTGGGAGGCACGTTATAAGATCGAGATGTTTCTTCACAATACAGCTAAATTACACCCTCATATGCACTACTATTTTAGAGTTGCTAAGATTAAGAGTCTTAGCCTGATGCTGAGTGCACTGCAGTGGATCACTTTTAAGTAGAGCTATATTACATCTTACCGAGTACATTAAAACACAATAAAATTGTGAAATACCAAAAACTTCATAGAGTAAAATTAATACAATTTCGCATAATGACAATTATATTGACATATAGTAATTATAATGATGGACCATATCGTACACATAATCAGAATATGTATTTATACTGGAGGAATCCGATGAGCTAGAAAGCTCTTTTTCACAGATGTCCAGTAGAGGCGGGTCAGAACATTTAAACAAACAATACAAAAATACGATACGAGTGCAAAGTATAGGAAAGGTAAACAAATCACTTGAAACAAATAAACACAACTGTATGCTGCACTCCTTAAACGGAGGAACAGCAAAACACGAACTATGTGCATTGAACGAATCCCTCTCGTAGTGGCGAACCAATCTCGACATCGGCACAAGCTCCTAAACCACATAGCTACCAACACAAGGAACAATAACATTGAATTAAATCACGACATCCATAGTTCGGTGCAGTAGGTATATTGTTACGCCTGTTTGCTCGGGAGCGCCTCCCTGGGTCTCAAGATTTTTTTAAAGAGAGTCCTGACAAGTTTTTGGCTGCTATAAATTTCCACGTGATGATAATCCACCTCGTTAAGCTATCATTTGTGGCCAGGTCGCTTCTGAAAAAGAGCTGTGTGTATTTGGTAAAATAAAATCTAAAGTTAGTTTTAAGTATTCATACAAGGGGACGATATTGATGCTATGTACATGTCATCACAATTGAGCCATTTGCAGGCGGTGTTTCAGAATTGGGATGTTTGGCCAATACCACTTAGGGCCGTCCATAAATGACGTCACGCACCTAGGGGGGGGGGGTCAGACATTTGTGACGATTTGTGACGAGGGGCGGGGGGGTATAGAAATGTGACGTCACATCAAAATGCGCAACTTTAAATACATATAAAATTGTCATAGCAACACTAATTTTGATTAATTTTAATTATTGACTATTTGATTATATATTATTGGTTCTTTCGGTAAAGTCACGTAGAAGGGAAACAATGAAATAATAAAAATATAAAACAGCAAGAAAATTTTCTTGTTGTGGTTTTCACACCTGATGATGATTGTTTGTATTGAAGTCGAAACGTCGTTGAGAATTTTATTGCTATATTTTTATTCTTTTATTGTTTCCCTTCTACGTGACTTTACCGAAAGAACCAAGAATATGAATCCCTGCAGTCACGAAAGCTTTAAATCAAAACTATTTGATTATTTAAATTTACTAAGGTCACCTTTTATTTATTCCATGAAGGAGCATTTTGCTTCTCCATGGAAGAATGGAGAAGCACACATTTTGAACATTTATTAAATGATTGTTATTAAACATTTTGATTCGAATGATTCTACCAGGGCTTTTCATTCTGTGGAATGAATATATGATTGTTATAATTGTACTCTCCATTTTGCTTCGTTATACTACAAAGTTTCAAGTATTTTTTTATAGTTATTACTTTTAATATTTTATAATTTTCAGATAATTTAATATATTCTGAGCATCTGCAGTTTTAGTTAGACGTCGAATATTTTCAAGTGAATTTTATGCTAAATTTAAGCTTTCCAACGACTCCTTTTTAATACGTGTTTTCTCCTACAACATCAGAGTGCAGCGCCACATTAAATACACACTACAATGACAATAGTTTAAAGCGATTTGAAGCATGTTTTATTTTCAAAACGGAAATATGGTTGGGGGGGGGGGGCAGAGCTTTGTGACGTCATATTTGAGGGGGGGGGGTCTGACTTTTTGTGACGCCGTGTGACGAGGGGGAGGGGGGGTCAAAAACGTCCAAAATCGCGTGACGTCATTTACGGACGGCCCCTTACATTGGGGTTTTCTTTTAGCTATGGGAGGAGGCCGGGGGCGCTGCAAGGAACCTCTTGCAGATCAAGGGGAGAACATATAAACTCTCACACACAAAGTCGTCCCAGTTGGGATTCGAACCCAGATTCTTCTGACTGTGAGACACGAGTTGTTACCTGCGGCGTCAGCCTGTCGCTGCGGCTCTTCAACAACACTTTGGCCTTAAAATACATAGCAGGCGACGTTTCGGGCAATGACCCATTCTTTGTCCGAAACGTCGCCTATTATATATTGTATCTCTCTTCTGGCCGATGTTACATTCACTAATGTATCGTAAACCATCGACTCCCGAAACGCACGGTTCGCTGCAACAACAACAACAACCGCCACCATTCGCCACGAAGTGGCGTTGACGTCACCACGGCGCTTGTGCCAGGCTACGTGCACGTCGAGGCCACGCGAAGTGTCGAACGGCCGCTGGCAGGAGGTCACGGGGCAGACCCACCAGGTCGACTGCCTGAGATGACTGACCGAAGCACACCACTTGTGCCCCCTACTGTGCCAACGTTGCGATTCGCTGCACGCACAGCAGCAGCAAAAAAATGCCGCCTGCGGGAATCGATTGACTTCCCTCTCCAATCACTCCGTTGAAAGTGTGGCCGCCGAGTGTCACTCGAGCCACGGCCTCGCGTGAGCGGTCGGAGGTAGTGGCGGCGGCGGCGGCCCACGATTCATGGCAGGGCTCCCCCGGGGCCCCGCGGCCTCGCCGGGCTCGCTGTGCTCGCTGTGCGCCCGCTCCCTGGTGTCCGACCACGGCCGGGCGCGGCTAGAGCTGCGCCGCGTCCCCGACTCGCTGCTCCCGCTGCTGCTGGGCGCAGCGCTGCGCGGTGACCGGCCGCTCGTGGCGGGGGACCTGGTGCGGTCCTGGCCCTTCCCCGTGCTGGACCTGGCCCAGGTACTCGCCTGGGGCAGGGCGGCGGGCCTCGCACAGCCCAGCGCGCCCTGCATGCAGGCCTGCATCTCCGCGCTCACGCGACGCCGCGGCAAGCGGGGCGCGGGCGGCGACGACGACGAGGAGGAGGCGATGGAAGAGGCCGAGGGCCCAGAGGGCCGAGGTGGGCCGCGCTCACCGTGCGCGCTCCGCCTTCTCGACCTCACGGGCCTGCCGGACGAGGAGACTGAGACGGCCCTTCGGAGAACCATGAACAGCTGGTCCCGCAGCGTGGCTCTCGCCAAGGCCGTGCTCGACGTGACCGCAGGCGGGAAGCACAAGCGGGAGGCCGTGGACGGGCCCGGGTCCCCCCCGAGGCCTCCTACCCGCCGCCGCCGCGTGGTTCTCCACGCGAACCTCTTGGTGAACGCGAGCTCATACGAGACGCTGCTGGCGGCTCTCCAGAGCAGCGGCCGGGCGGGCTCGGCGCTCGGCCTGCGCTGCCGCGACCTCCGCGTCGAGGAGCTCTCGCTGCGGCGCCTGTGCCGCCTGCTCGAGGCCCTGGAGGCCCTGGAGGCCCGCGAACCCGCGCTGTGTAAGCTGGACCTCGGCTTCAACAACATGGGGGTGCGGGGCCTGGCCGCGCTGCTTCCGCGCCTCGCCCGCTTCCCGCGCCTGCGTAGCCTCAGCCTCGCCTACAGCAACGTGGACGTGAGGCGCCTTGCTCAGGGGACGCCCGAGAGGGGCGAGGAGGCGTTCGGCAGGGTCGCGGAGGCCCTCGCGTCGCTCGGCGCCCTCAGGGAGCTCAATCTGGAGGCGTCCAGGCTGAGCGACCGCGTTCACCAGCTCCTGGCGTGAGCAGGCATTTGCGCCGGAGCCCTCACGGGGTTCTGTTTAACAACGCTAATGAGCAGACGATTTGGACAATATTTGACAGTTATGCGCACGAACATTAACACTAAACTATATATTTTTATTTAACCAGCTCAGGCCAACTGAGCTATATGATGGCTCTTTTCAGAAGCGACCCCGCCACGAATGATAGCTCAACGAAGTGGATTTTCACGTGGAAATGTATAGCAGCCAAATGCTCTGAACGCACGTTTATACAATGTGGAGGGAAAAACCCGAGAACCCGGAGAAAATCCACGCGACCACGGGGAGAGAGAGAGACATGCAAACTCTAAATATACAGCAGGCGTCAGGGTCTGAATCTAACCCAAGGCCTCCTGTATACCGATATATTTAATATCTCGCCACCGTGGGGCTCACTTAAAACATATATTGAGTGTTTTACACATCCCATTAGCACACAGTCTTCATTTGGTAGTGTATAATTGTTGTCCCATTAGACATCAGGCTTTCTTTAACCAAATTCTGAACTGCCAGATGTTTGTAGGCAAGGACCCTCTTGTGATATATAGTTCCTAGTCAGATGTGAAACTATACACCACAACACGAAATAATGTGGTTCTGGAGAATACCGTATTAGTCGCAATAATCAGAGAATACACACATTTTCATATTTATAAAACTACATACAGTATTGTATAATCATTGACAAGGACACTCCATGGTAGATATATCTAAAACAGTAGATAAAACCCAACAGTAATACGTTTTGATGTATCAATGCATTAGCACTCAGGTTTAACAAGCCTTGTTTAACAAGCCTTGTTTAACAAGTCTACTGGACATCGATGAAAAATGTTTATAGCTCATCGGATTCCTCCAGTATGAATAAATATTCCCATTCTGATATTATTACACTCGTTTACCTCGTAAAGGCTCACTGAATCTCAATGTTATTTTCAGGAGGGTCCTGCTAAGTCTCCGAAGGAGGGGGAAATGTTGTGTAATACCAATTTAGTAATATGTAGATTCTTTTTCAACATTGGGATATTTGGTCAAGAGCAGTTATATAGAAGAGTATTTTTTAGCTCATGAGGCCCAGAAGATTGAAACCAGTTCGGATTTTGCTGCTTGGAACAAATGCTGCTGGAAAACCATTAGGCTGGAAGGCTGATGCACTAAATATATACATGTTATTGTGTAAACATAGATGGAGGTTTATGATATGCATGTGTTTGTGTGATTCCTCGTATGGTATGGAAAAGTAAGTGTCGTGCGTGGTGTGTACGCAGTGACATTGCTCCCCTGGAGAGTTTGGGACTTGCTTACTGCTCCCTCACCCCTGGCGACATGACGTCACTTACGGCCTCACACCACACGGAGAGCCTCCGTTGTCTGGACATCAGTGGCAGTAACCTTGGTCAGCTGATTCCAGGTGACTTCCTTGCAGTGACACCTTGTTGCTGCAATGTGAATTTAAATTGATGTCCTACTCATCTTCTGATTACCAGTCATGAGCCAGTGACAGAAATTCCGCATTCCTATGTTGGGATCGAGTCTATCCATTGGACAACCACTGTGTACTTATCCGCAAAGTAGGATGATGGGTTGAGAATCTCCAAGATTCGAAGGGTGGCGTAACATAAAAAGATCTCAAATGGCAACAGCAAAATCTTACTTGTTTCATGAAATTAAAAGTTACGGGCCCAAACCTATCTCGCATTTGGTGTATGTTTCCAGAATGAGACAGTACTAAAGGTAATGGTATATTTTTTGGCAAATATATATTTCAGGAATTAATTTCAGGTGACTTTTTGATTCACATGAACTGATAATCGAAAATGTTTAAATTTAATATTTTTTTTATCTTGACCTTTTGATCACTGTCACTCACATTTGTTATTTGTAAAAAAGCCTACTGGATAACAATATCGATGTCTTGTCGAATCATATGCTAACTCTATACTCTCTCTACTCAGGACTGTGTTCCCTGCTGGGACGCACCACAGCCCGTCTCCAGGAGCTGAGTCTTATTGGCTGTGGTTTGGCTGATCATCACATCCCAGCGCTGTTGGCAGCCCTGCCAGCCTGTCAGGCCCTGCAGCAGCTGCGTGCTCAAAACAACCCACTCTCCCTACAGGCCCTGCTGCAGTTGACTACCTGCCTGGCCTCCTTACCTGGTCTGCAAGCTTTTTATTACCCCGTGCCCTTAGAATGCTA